CCTTCTGCCTGAGATGCAAAAATAACGCCCACCGTGGGGCTCGAACCCACGACCACAAGGTTAAGAGCCTTGCGCTCTACCGACTGAGCTAGACGGGCAGCTTTGTTTTTTGTGTTCAGTTAATTTTTTATAGCTTCAATCTAGTTTGCTAATTTGCTTTTTGAGGTGAAGAATTAAAAAAAAAAAAAAAAAATTTCACGTTTAAAACAGCTCAAAAAATAATTTAATCAGATGACGGCAACCGTCAGATACAAATACATTTACCATAAAAACAATATTTAATGGCCATTGATTACCTGATTGAGGAGTAGGTCCCACGAAAAGGTCCATACGTGGTCCCCACTTAGTCTTGCCGTTACATGTCCTCCCGTTTCTGATCTGCTAAGAGAAGCTCCCGCCTTATTACCTTCGTCTCTGTTCTCGCAAATTTGAAGAGAAAAACCCAAAAAAATCAAAATCATGAGGGACCCGATTCCATTGAGGACGATCTGGATCGTGATCTCCTGGTACAGTTCGAACATCGGCGTTCTTCTTCTGAACAAGTACTTGCTGAGCAGCTACGGTTTCAAGTACCCGGTCTTCTTGACCATGTGCCACATGCTCGCCTGCTCGTTGTTCAGCTACGCCGTCATAGCCTGGTTCAAGGTGGTTCCGATGCAGAGCATTGGATCCAGGAAACAATTCGTCAAGATCACCGGATTGAGTCTTGTCTTCTCTTTTTCGGTTGTCCTCGGAAACGTTTCGCTTCGTTACCTTCCCGTGTCGTTTAACCAGGCGATCGGCGCCACCACGCCGTTCTTTACCGCGATTTTCGCTTACCTGATGAGCAAGAAGCGGGAGACTTGGATCACGTACGTCACGCTGATTCCTGTGGTTGCGGGAGTCATCATTGCTAGCGGGGTAACGTTTTCACACAATTAAACAATTTTTGCCCCAATTTCAAGAACTGAAGAATTTGATCTTTTGAATCGCAGGCTGAACCGAGTTTCAATCTGTTTGGATTTGTAATGTGTGTCTCGGCTACAGCAGCAAGGGCGTTTAAATCTGTGCTTCAGTCTATTCTGTTATCATCGGAAGAGTAATTTTCTCCCTCTTCCATTGCAAGATTTCTTGGAGACTAATTTAATTTCCTGCTCATACATTTTCTTGCTGCTGATTTTTCAGGGAAAAGCTGAACTCCATGAATTTGTTGATGTACATGGCACCAATAGCGGTGGCGATCTTGCTTCCCGCCACTTTGTTAATGGAAGGAAATGTTCTTGAGATTACTGTAGCTCTTGCTAGGGAAGATATCAATATAGTTTACTACCTGCTCTTCAATTCTTGTCTAGCTTATCTTGTGAACTTAACCAACTTCTTGGTTACCAAACACACAAGTGCTTTGACACTCCAGGTATGTACCAAATAATCTTTTAAATAGATATACCTTAGATCTCTAATTTCTCTATTATAAAAGTCGAAGTTAAGCCAAACAAGCTACTCTTAACATGTTTAAAGTTGATTTAAACTTATAATTTTCATTATTTTTGTGATACTAAACTAATTTTAGCCTGGATTCGTTAGAGTTGATTTGTTTTAGTAAATTTATTTCAGGTTCTTGGAAATGCGAAAGGTGCTGTTGCTGTGGTGGTTTCGATCTTGATCTTCAAGAATCCTGTCTCGTTAATTGGGATGCTTGGCTACTCACTCACTGTGCTTGGAGTTGTTCTGTACAGTGAATCCAAGCAGAGGATCAAACAAGACTCCTTCACGGAATTGATATGCAAACTTGAAACTTAGAGATGAGAAAGGAAATCAGAGAAACGGTATTCTTTATTTTTTCTTTCTTTCCTAGCGGATTGTATGTTGGAACAAAGGATACAATAATATTGTACGAGCATTTTTGAGGTAACAGACTTCAAAACTCTTCAATTCATTTGATGCTTTATATTTATTTCTCCGACTTTGTTAATCAACATGGTTCTTGATTTAGTTTCCATCATACTGATATGATAATCGATGAAGATATTTGTCCAGAAACATGGCCCTGGTCTCTGCCAGCCTTGCCTTTTGTATGGACTAAAGTACTAAAACTTGCACCATGGACTTCGAACCTTCAATGCCCTATCTAGCAAGTGGTCTATATGAAAACCATAAAAAAGACTACTTTTGCTATGCCTTTTAATTAAGGGTTTCCAAGTGTCCATTAAGAGTATTTTTTTGTCATTAATATATATATTGACATTAATTTTAGTATTAGTGTCAAGTACGTAATTTAATTTAATTGAGTCATTAATAAATTAAATGTTAATTTTTATGTTTTTAATATAAATTTATAAAAAAAATGTATTTATTATACTATTAAGACATTAATTAAAAAAACCATTAATTAAAGACAAAGAAGGCGATACCTATGACTCAAGCCTTATTGTTTTGGCTGTTAGGACTAGATGATGACCATTGATATTTCAACAATAAGAACACTTGTGTTTCAATTCATCACCTGCTTTTCATAGAAATTCATTTCTTTGCTGGCAATACTAAAAATTTTCTGTGGTGTACTTGCCATTTTTTTTCTTGTATTTCTAGGGAAAATGGTGGAAGTATAAAATTCCTTACCGTATGAATCTTCCCCTGGATAAGAAAGCCACCTCAATCCAATTTGACAATTTGTTGGGAACTTTGCTCCCTGCTTTTTCTCACTCCCATAAGACCCTAAAGCACTTTGCATCTTATTCTTGCCCATTTCAATATTTAATATTCATAACATTAAGTTATGAGGATTTTGTATTGGGCAAAAAATAACAAAGAAAAAAGACATTAACGTTGCGTATTGTGAATGGTTCGGCATTGGGGTACAGCTATAAAAAAATTAAGGTTGTAAACAACAATAATATAGTTATAAACTTACAATAACATCTAATATTGTAATTTTATCATGACATTTTACTAAATTAAATAATTAAATATATAATGTTAGTAATGATTCTTAAAAAAATTAACAATACTATAATTATACTATCAGTTAAGATTATAAACTTATAATTATGATATATTTTTAAATAAATAACTATAAATGATATTATAGATGAACGTTAAATTAAAAAAAATAACTATACATTATCTTTATCTTAAAATAATTAAAGTTTTTCATTCAAAATTTGTGTTAAATTAATATTTATTTTTATATTATATTTTAAGAGAAGAAATTTTTTTTCACAATTTAA